AGTTCCTAGTACAGGAGAGATTGCTCAATCATATCGGTGTTACCCAAGGTACATGTTATGCTAAATATGTGCATGATTCTGTATTCTAACGTTGCCAAGAGATGGAAATAGTGTTTGATTACATGTTCAAATTGTAACGTCATAATTTGCTTCTAGTTCAGATGGTTTTTGATGTTGGTGAGTGAAAGTTACATTGAAAACACTCTGTTTATTATAATTTGTGATCGAATCTGATTTAACGAATTATTATATATTTTCTTCATGGTGTTGAGTACCAGGAATCATTACAAACAAAATTAAACAACAGACTAAACTTACTTCGAATACAGAGTACTTAAAATCGGAAAAACGAATTTATTGAAAGATATTCCCCTAGAGAAAAAAAAAAAAAGACTGAAATAAACCAAGATTTGTTTGAATATTTAATTGAGAAAAATAAATGAACTAAAAAACCTAGACTGAAAATGGAAAAGAAAGTAACTTCAGAAGATATTGAGAATAAGCTATTCAGTATCAACACAAAACCTTTATAGACAGGAAGAATGCAACGGTTTTTGAAACAGACTTCCGAATGTTCTAGAACTTTTATGCGCCGAAACGAAACGATGAATAATACATGTAAAATTATCTATAAATCAGAAATTATAGCGGAGTTTGTAAATAAACGAACTTTTAAAATACATCCGAAAATACAACTGATAGTAACAGTGGAAGGGAAAAAATTGAAAAATTTGCATATCCTGGCTTAATGGTAAAAAAGTCTTTGCTTAAATGTAACACCTTTTTAGCTTCCATTTTCGATTTTGCGTTAAGCGCTCGGAGTTGTGACATAGCGACAGAAATGCTGAAACGCTGAAAATGCTGATTTCAGAAGCACATTTATCTGTTCGACTATGAATAAAGTGTTATTCTCTTGAATCATTTGGGAATATTTCAAATGTTAAAACTCTACGATGTATGCGAAATCAAGATCCGAAAATTAGAATCGTTGAACAACTCATCAGGAAGCTATGAAAATTTACTCTGTCCTATTATTTTGCAAAAATCTCTGGAGGAGTTAATTTAAAATTTAATCGAAGTCCAAAAATTGAAGCAAGTTTCGATATAAAGGAACTTTCTGAAAAAAAGAAAAGAATTCTTAAAAAAGGAAGTTGTGGAGAAGATGCAAATCTAACGAACTGCGCGAAGACATTCCAAAACATGGGCAGCGCCACGAAAGCTAATCCCAAATTATAAACTGCAAGTTCTGATTTCTACAGTTTTGTGAACTACTGAGTACAAATATGTACTTTGTGATAAAATGTGATGATGTAAAAGATCATATGAAATAATATTGAACTGAATACAGAAGAAAAGCGCACCTTTGTTAAACGTATTGGAACTATTTTATGTGTTTTGAAGTAAATATTTAGCAATCAGCTGATCTAATATAATGCTTCAAACGGTTCCTGATGTAGCAGGAGGTAAAAATAAATAACTGTATTGTGATGGGGTAGCCAAGTTTTAGTATTTCGAGAATACAAGAAAACTAAATTACAAGAAAAAGGAGAAACTAACTTAAATCTGCATACTATTCGTGAAACGAATGAGATGACATTGGCATGGAAAGAATGTTAACCTATTGGCATGGAATATTAACGACTCTAACAGTGCATGCCTCTTGAAGCGAACGTTAGTCATAAACAAACGCGAACATATGGATACCAGATGGGCAAATGAAGTCCAAACATCAAACACTCCGCATTACTTTATCTAAGATACGTGTGATATTCATGGTGGAATGAATCGTCATATTTCTGTTTTAAATTAGCGTGGATAACGTATGAAATAAAACAACTGAAGGATAAAAATAAATGGCAATGCCTAATGACAACAGTATACAAGGGAAACATTTCCTCCCAGCTTTTCGAATGCTTGTTTAAATTCATAGAAAAGAAGCTGATAAAAAACATTGGATGATTTTGGAATACTGAATAAAATCCGAATAAAATGAAATGGTTATATAGATTTTAAAATTACGTAAAAAAAAGCAGCTTTATTTTGACGCTGAATAAAACTTTATTTTTCTGCGAGAAAGATTAAACGCAAGTAATTAACAAATTTTAATAGCGGGTCATTAGCTTCTATGATTGCCGATAACATCGCTAGCATAGAGTTCACAAGTTTTGATATCATTTCGAAACATTTTCTGCCATTCTACGTATGGAAATGCCGCGAATCTATTGAACTAGAAATTGATGTTTTGAACAGTTTAGTTACTGAGAAAAACTTTTTTTCAATATAATTCATATATATATATATATATATATATATATATATATATATATGTAATAATAATAAAGCACAAATTTGGGAGCACAGAATTTAAGACCACCACTGAGATGTGGAAGCATAGCAATGCTGTTTAGCGTAGATACACTCTTTTGCAAAAAAATCGAAGCACTAAGAAGGACTTTTGCGATTGTGACAAAATTTGGTATGCAAAAACATCTTGCTCGAACATGCAAATGATCAAAGTTTCAAGGCAAATGAACAGGAATTTCGAATATAGCGCGTATTTCTAGTGCGGAATTCGCAAAGTATAAACCAGTAAAAAGAGGCGGAAAATTTATCATTTTTTGTTGCTGCCATTGTAATTTCGTAAAGAAGCAACTAAAGATGCCATTACGACGATATCGAAGACCTTACAGACAACTAAACGACTTCGAACGTGGTCGCACTGTAGGGTTGCGTGAAGTTGGGTGGTCATACCAAACAATTCACCGCCTTGGTTGCTACAAGGAAATTGCCGATGAAATGAAGGCTTTGGAAGTGCAAGGAGCACAAATGCGAGGCAAGATAGGATGATTGTTCACCAGGTCCGAACCGCCCCAACGGTATCATTGTCGACTTGCATACAGCCACGTCTATACCTACGTGGTACCGTCCACCATCTCATGACGCTTGTCCTCAGACGGAGTTACGCTCACGTTTGCCTTTGACCCCACAACATCGGCGGAGTCGTCTGGAGTGGTGTGGTGTCGCAGCCGATCATCATGGCTGCCGACAGACTGGCATCGTATAGTGTTCAGCGATGATAAAGCAAACGACCACCGCGTTCGTGTCTAAAGAGGACGGGGCCAGCGGTCCCAATCAGCCTTTGTTTTACAAAGGCATACAGCCATAACTTCTGGTGTGATGGTGTGGAGAGCTATTTCTTATGACCACAGGTCATCTTTAGTCATCCTCCGTACATCTTTAACAGCTCAACGATATGTTGATGCCATCTTGCTGCCGGTTGCATTACCCCTTCATGGCACGACAACCTGGAGCCATTTTCCAACAAGATAATGCCAGGCCACATACCGCTCGCATATCTCTGCGGTTGATACTCTTCTTTGACCAGCAAGGTCAACAGACCTTTCACTAATTGAGCATGTCTGGGGCATGGTAGGTCACCAGATTCGGGCACCACAAAATATCGCAGATCTGGAGCGACAACTGATGAATGCCTGGCAGAATGTGTCGCAGGATGACATTAGGAACCTCTACCACTCCTTGTCTCGACGAATTTCTTGCATCGACTAATATCTTGCATTGATCTTTTTTTTTTTTTTTATTTCATAACTTAATTATCATTTTCCGTATAGCAGTTGGCACTTGTGCTCTTTTATTGATCATATTCGCCTAATAACCGAAACAGTTAAGCTTTTTTCTCTGAAACAAACTACTCTAATACTATAAGCGAATATATAAATATAATATATAAACGAATATATAAATACAATATATAAACGAAGATATCAGTCGTTTAGTTTTGAAAATTGCTTCACTTCAATTAGCCGTTCGTAGACTTTTGTTAAAGCTAAAGAACGCGAACTGTAATTTTATTAGTTTTAAAATATAATTTTTTTGTTAATCTTTGTACGTATGGTATAAAACCATATCAAATAAATATTTCTGGAAAGAGAAGTAATTTTTATTTTTATTTTTGTTTTGTTTTGTATTTGACCTTTTTTGTATTACCGTTTATTCCACGTACAAAATTCAATAATTTTTTTCGCATAAGAAAATATAGCTTTAAAATATTAAAATGGATACACTCCTATTTTTCTGATTAATGTTTATTATTTCAGAATAGGCACTTCAAGGACATTGTTTTCCCCACGAATCCCAGTCATTGTCATGGTTATAAGGTTCCACATGCCTCATAACCTAATGACTGCTGCAGTAAAAAGGTCGAATCGTCTAATTTGTTAAAATCTCCTAATTCCCTTTGGCCAGAAATGACGACACACGATTGTGAATGAAGGAAAGGATTGCTACAGCCTTGAAACGTCTAATTTAAAGTAATAGACCATAGTAATGCATGATTCTAAATTTCCAAAAAGAGAATTAAGGATTATTTATTGCAAAGAGAATAAACGTAGGATTTCTCGTTCCTATTGTACTTCAATCTTCATTCTGTCAAAAAAAAAAAAAAAAAAGAAAACTTACCATATGCATCATAATAACTATGAGTTTCACCTCACGAAGAGAAATGTCTTCATCATTATTGTCTTTACCGAATTATACTTTTTACGACTTTGTATAAAACTAACTACTGTTCTAATTTGTAAATCAGAAATCAAATACTTTAATGAAGGATTTCACTTAATTTTTTTTTTCACTTTCTGCATATCCTTATCAATAACTTATAAGTCTCAAGAAAATAAATCCTAATACTCTGTAAACTTGTTTAAATTAAGTTTGATATTGTTAAATTTTATTCACTGAAAATCTTAGAAGAATGAAACTTTTAAAATAGTGCTGTGAAAATAATTTCCGCTAACCTTGACTTCTTCGGTCCTTCAAAAACATTTTGAATATGCCCTAATGGGCGATAACAAACGAGCGGATTTTCCTCATTTCTAAGAGAAATTGCGATTATCAATAGAAATGTCTGCCAAAGGAAGAGATAAATATTCAAACTTGGCAAACACCTCTAACCCTAATAGTTTCATCTCCCTTCGTTTGCTGATGAACCGTTGCTCTATCATCCCGACAGTTGAACTCCGTGTTTTCGGCCTTTTCTTCAAACGCCCAGCGTCTAGTTAATGAATGGTATGTTTGCATGCTGAGAGCTTGTGTCCCTTTTTTAGTGTTCTGTGTTAGTTACGTAAAGGAGGAAAATAGGCCGAAAATTTGGAATTCTTGTTCATGACCAGTTAGCGTTCATTTGTGACAAATATCACTAAAGTGAAAATTTATAGTGAATTCAGTAAAAAGCGGTCATTTTATTGCTTTCGTTTCTTTTCTGTGTGTGAATGATCTACCAAATCTGTCACATACCCTTCGAGAGACGCTGTGGGCGGTGACGGAGAAACGTTCTTGCGTTTTATTCAGGAAGAGGTCAGTTTGAATTATTCTCAACGTGCTGGAATAAGTTGTCAGGTAAGTAAATTTTTCTCATAATAGTTTACATGTACTTTATTATACTTAATCATAAATTTGATTATTGCGAACGTTTCGCACAGAATATATTCGCAACATAATTATAACATAAAAGAAATCCTTTTTTGACTTACAAAATGCTCTCAGAATCGTAGAATTCTTAAATGCGTGTGGTATAATAATTATTTTAATTTATATGCGAACATATAGTTCAGCATGAAATTTATAATTTAGAATTTAGACTGCACCGATTTAATTAGTGCTTATTCTGTAGTAGAAGATCTAAAAATAATTATTAAGCACGTCGAAGGATGATTCTTCGATATATTTATTTTTTTTCACTTCGCGATAAGTATTGCCACTTGAGGGAAGTATTTGTAGCAAACCTCGTACTTAAGCGATCCAGTAAAACTATAGTATCATGCTTTCTGAAGCATTTTCTTTCTGAAATAAATGCATTTGGTTTCCACGTGTTGTTAACCTAGGTTGAAATATTAATATCATAGCAATTATTTCCTTACCATTTGGTCTTCTCGTTTTGAATCATTATTGAACAGTCATTCTAAAATATAAGACCTTCAAGTTTATGTTTTTTATTATTATTATTATTATTTTTATTTGGGAAGGCTAATTCTTTAACTAGTAAGCTTCTCATAACTGCACAAATTAAAATTGTTCCAAGCGTGTGAAATTTAGTTATTATTTACTTGTGAAAAGCAGCAGTTTGGATGCATGTAAAAATAAAATTCTGAAAGTATTGCAGTGCTATGTAATATATATAATATTCTAGGCTTATAACTAAAATAGTTTAAGCAGTTAAAAGTGCACCCTCTTTATTTGATATCCCGTCAGGAGCGATTTGCTTTCATGATGGAAAGTTTAAAACCACCAGAGCCGATGCAGTTGGATGAAAATCTTGCTTCAGTCTAGCAAAGATGACTGCAATCGTTGGAAATTTATAAAGTAGCCAGTGTATTACATAATGGTGAAGAAAAGGTGAGCGTTAATACTCTTCTTTATGTACAGGAATTCGCGGTCTTGAAATATATATTGCATTTCCTGTAGAAGATGGTAGAGAAATAAAATTAATTAAGACAAAATTCACTCAATGTTATATACCACCGAAAAATTTTTCGTATGAAAGACATTTATTCTTTACTAGAGATCAAACACGTCGAAAACCATAGATGAGTATGTAAGTGATCATTGAAATAAAGCTAGAACATACGCGTTATAGTTAACGGATAGTCTGATAAAAATTTAAATTGTTTGTGGAATTAAAGATGATGTACTGAGAGCAAAATCATTTCATAAAATGGAATTAATATTAGAAAAAGATCTTAATATATGCAGATCTGCGGAAATAAGTGCAGATCAGATGAAAATATTAATAGATGAGGAAACCGTTGCCATTTACAAGTTACTAAGTAATATATGTAAAATGTTGCCATTTTCATATCAAGGAAAGTGTATACGCACATTTCTTTAATGTATTATCATTGTATTTACAGAACTATTTTATCTAAACTTTTTGTGTTTTAAATGTTCTGTTTGATATTAAGATTCTTTATTATCTCTTTGCCCCGTAAATAAAGCCTTTTGTTGTATTGGAATAAGTATTTTATCCCATTCCTCTTTGAAAAACTTTCCAAAGTCCGAAGAAGGTTGTAGGTCGATGTATGGACAATGCACGAGTCCAAAAGCTCAAAATTCCATATACGATATATCAGAAGTTTAGTAGGGCTTTAAGTGAAGGGTATGGCTTTGATACCCGTTTCTTGTTCCACTTTTGTCTTAGGAAATTAACAGTGAATTTCGTGGTGTGGCTGCTTGTTTTGACTGGATGCAGTTCTACTCATTGATGGCACTGTGGTTAAAAAGGTAGGTATTCCGTACTTTGATAATTGGGTATAAAATATATTCCTGGTAATATGTGAAGTTGCTGTTAACATTTTTCCCACTCTCTTTATTTTTTATTTGCCTTTATGTGAAAAACCAGCAACGATCATAAATCCCATTGTAAAAATTTCGTCAGATTCTTTGAACCATGTGTTGAGATTTTTTTCTCCTCTTTAATGAAAATAAATGGATCTCTCTTTTTTTTTTTAATTGCAATAGCCCAAATTGGTTAATCTTTGGATTATGGTAACTTGGCGATTTTTTGGTGAAACTTTGGCGACTAACCCTGCTACAGCAACCTGCTAGTTTTGTTTTCACGAAGTAAAGGCATTTTTTTTTTTTTACTCAACATTTTCTCCAACAATCTACTAGCCGAATTACGCTTATACTAGAACTTTTATGGAACAAAAGTGCTTAATCATGACGTAGATAAGGTGCGAAATTGGGTGAAAGTGCAGAATCGCCCACTGCTTGCCGCGTTTTTAAGAACTGCACATACGCGTTATCCATGTACACGTCGACCTATTTTCACTTAAAAAAACATCCCAGAATTGCACAAAAATGGCATTGCTCACACTCTTGACTTTATGCATGTACACTGCTAAAGTCCTAGCTAGTAACTTTTATCGCCTTACCAAAATGTCGCCAAACTACCTGTTACCATATTTCAAAGATTAGCCTTTAAATTAATTTATTGCAGTCATTTAAAGTCATCTAAGTTTCATCTATTTTGACAACAGTTTTCCATTTTTATCCCGATAAATGTTTCTCATAAATAGTTCTGCGATATGGCGTGAAGAAAGACTATGCACATGATGTTCTTTCGGCGCTTTAAGATTCAAATCAGTGTTAATCACTTTCTTTCTAATTGACATTCAGCATTTTTATGATTGTGCAACTGTCCTTTGCAACATTATAAGAATTCCATTTTTTGCTTGAATATGTATTTGGAATAATTTTTCCATTTGAAGCTAAACTTTGACTTTTTCTCCCATTCTTGTTGACAATAACACCTATCGTGGCTTTAGATATTAGAAAAACCATGGCTTTCACAGCACTTTTTAATAACTAGATACGAATAATTTTCTTTGGAAAGATCACAAACATCGCTGTTCATTCATTGCTTTTTTTACCAGGGCCATTTCGCATTAAAACAGTAGCAGGTAATAATTTGTACTTTCAAAAGTATAATTACAGTTAAACAAGAATTTCTAAGCAAGCGATTTTTTTTATAGTAAAGCAAAACTGTGAACAAAATGTGCAAACAGACTCTGTATAAGACTTCATGTTTCTGTATTTTTTATCTGAGAGGTCTAATTCTTTAACTGGTAGGTTTGTCATAACTGCGTAACTTAAAATTGTTTCAAGCGTTAAATTGAAATCTATATATCTACATGCAAGCATTAAGATGAAACTGCGGGAATTTTTTAATCATATCATGTTTACTATATTTGTTCATTTAAAAATATTTTTAACTTTTTGAGTAATGATAACCCCCCTTCGCTTTATTAGACTGTAATCTGAAGTTTCTGATAATAGCATTGTTTTATATATATAAATATGTAAAATATAAATATTACTATGGCTTTGCTCTACGCGAATAGGCAACCTCTAATTAACTTTGCGCACTTTCATGATCTTCCCCATAGACCAGTACTTTCGAGAACATTCGAGCATAATACGGAACCGCTCCTATAATTGAAGAACTCGCGCCATTTTGCGTCAGAGATGGCTTTTCTTCGCTTAGCCGCTGTGACATCTTTTTGCTGCCGCTCTATCTTTGTTTGAGTAAGTATGACGCAGTAAATTTAAAGTTAATCGTATTCAGTCTAAGTTACTATCACATATGTAATCTTGAATGATCTGCCGTTTGAATTGAATAAAGAGGTGGAGCTAAAAAGTTAAATTCTTCGGTGTCGTCATTGGATTACACTCAGCCACAACAATTTCCGGAATTCCAATGTGAAGCCTAGCAATCTGATGTATATATATATATTGGGTATGCATTTAATGGTATCGAACGTAAGATTCCGCAATCTCTTTCCTTCTGTTTGGGGTTAAACGCTGTCCATCCTAATCTGATCTTGAAGAAATGGCTTGATAGGCCACCTTTGTAACGGACACGTTTATAAATCGGTCTCTTTTCTAGAAGTGGGACGAATCTTGATTTTTTTTTTAAAATTCGAATCCTAAAAAATTCTCGTATGTCTCGAATTCTTCATATAAAAATAATAAAAAGAAATCTGTACAAGACATTATTATTAGCTTTTCTGTAGGTTTAAGTCCTACAGGCACACTCTTGCACATTTTCCACTTAATATTCAGTCTTGCCAATTTACATGCATCTATATTTTTTAAGACGATTCCAATTAAATTTACTAAATTGAAGTAAAAAATTAAATTCGTTGAATCTTTATATTCATTTCATCAGCATAATCTGGGAAAATAATAGAGTAACAATTCAAATTTTTAAAAATTTTGTAGATTCTTTTAAAATCAAAGCAAGTATATAGGGGAATATCGTCTGTACTTATTTTGATTTAAGAAATAGGTGCTAAACATTGAGGGCTAAATTATCTTCAGGCAATATGAAAAATTAAAAATTTATTTATTTTTAGAACGCTTGAAGGTACATTCACTATGTGGAACTCCGGATTTCTAAAGAGTTGATGTTTTCATCAAATATCAGTGGAATTTAATAGTTACGTTCTGGTTGAATAAGCGTTTATGTTCAAACTGATCATTCGGAAGTTTTAAGACAAAAGTTCATTTGTATTTAGGTTAGAATTCGGATGCGAATAACGAAGAGAGCCCAAGGATTCAAGTTTCCAAATCTGGAAAATTTTTGCACGGCTATTCAGATATGTGGCCCATTCTTAGGTCTATCCTTATATATATATATAATGCGAAAGTTTTAGCGTAAGCAAGAAGACCTTGTCTAGGTTGGCTGGATGATTGACAAAACGTGCGAGATGTTGCGGTAGTTATTGCGGATGTTGCGGTAGTTAAACTGCGAGCACTTAGTTCCACTCTGCCATCCTTAAGTGCAAGAATCGACAACAGCCAAATAATTCCATTATGGAAGCATGTATTTATCCAGC